GTAGCAAGGCACTCGACAGAGTGAATCGCTGCAATCTACGGTTGGGGCTCGGCCTAGGACGACGCTGATATAATGTTAACACCTAAAACAAACTGTCTGCACTGTGGCACTGAGCACGGCGTTTCACCCTGCTCAGTGCCACAGCGTACTCTGTTTGTATGTGGTTGTTGTTTTTGTTTTTTCAAGGTGTAAACATATTATCAACCTCGTCATTGTTTGAGCACCCTCCGGAGAATGCAGCAACTGGCTCTGCCATGTGTTCAGCGGGAAAGTAGACGCTTCATATTACTTGATATATGTACAGACCAAAGACTCCCTCTCAAAATAGATCCGATCGCAACCACCGCTGTTATCCGATAGCCACTCGGGCACCGCCAAAATTGAGTCATCACGGCGCTCGTCCTGTTTTTTGCCTTTCACATCACCCGCTAAATCAATCACGGACAGAGAAAAGAAGAGGATTACAGCACATTCTCCCCGCGTGATTGGTTTAGACTCTGGTAACAAGCGCGCACACATATTATAAGCGCCACAACAAAGCCCTTTTTGCACTGGTCGATTGCCTCCGTCTCATCCTTACGTTGGCTGCGGTCGAACCCACTGTGAAACGGAGTGTAGCTACAACAGTTGGCTGACGTCATTAAACTCTTCTTCCTCCGCGCTTATAGCAAAATTCTGTTTGATCCGGAGTGCCACCGGTTCTCTTTGCGATCACATGACCGCTTACGCCAGTCGACGAGGGTTCCTTCGTACAAACACACGCTTTTGCTTGAGTGCTGACAGCTCAGTCATTTTTCTGCCTTATCGTTTGTTTTGTTTTTGTTTATTTTATCCGAAGACATTAATTTTTTTATTGAGCGAGGCCGGCGGCGTCTGAAGCCGTTGTCTGTAACAGCAAAAAACAGCCTTAAATGCCCATTGGCTGAACGAAACGGCATTTTAATTCCCGTTGGCTGCGATGCGTCATATCAGATGCTTTGTCACAGGACCCGGCGAGGCCGCTCGTGGTCAAAGCGGCCGTGCCTCAGAAATAAAACACAAAGAAAAGCACAGCAACGCAGATGCGTCGTGACGGAAGTCGTGGATCCGGCGAGCGCGCCGCGCCTGCGCAGGTTGGGGAACGCGATTTCACCGCGTTGGGCCGTGTGAAAAAGACGTGGTGCGCTGCTTGTAGGATGTGCTACCTCTAGGCGAAATCCACCATCGTTGTCCAGTCTTGGAATGCATAGCAGGGTGGAATGCGCGCGCACCGCCGCACTCCCTTTCGGCGCTGCGGCCGCTTCTGCTCCTCTCGGCGCCGAGAATGCTTTCGCATTCCCAACTCATAACAAGTGCCTAGGCGCCCTCGGAAATTTCGTGCCTAGATATACTGGGTGTTTTTTTTTTTTTTTTTGTCTTTTTTTTAGCTCTACATGTTTTTTTTTTTTTTAATTTGTTAATGCTACACTTATATGGCCGGCGGAGGTGAGTTACACGACCAGGGGGACTAGAACAGGCGGCTAATCGTAATGATCAGTTGGTTAATTAAGTAAAGTTTGTGACTTAACGTTTTTAAATAATGAAAATAGACATGGTTCCAGTTAGGAGCTTGGTGAGCGGCATCAAAAACCACTAAATCAGTCATTTTTAGAAAGACTTTGGGCGCGTAAGAAGCGTAGTAGCGCACTAAAGAAGCGTAGTAGCACACCAAAGTTACCACTGGTGGAGCAGGGACAAGGTTAGCGGTTGCGGTAAGGCGCCTGCACTATTTTCCCTTCTCTTCTGCGAGCCCCAGCCTTGTACCTGCTCCACGAGTGGTAACTTTAGCGTAAACTGCGCTTCTCACGCGCTCAAAGTCTGTCTAGAAATTACTGATTTAGGGATATCGGACGACGCTCAGCAAGTTTCTAATTGTAAGCATTGTGAGAATCGGCCCGCCATCACCGTGAAAGAACGCGGGAACAGGCTCTTTTCTTGGCGTGTTTGCGTTTGCACGTGTGCCCCGGTGTGTGGGTGAACTGGCGACGCTCGTGCGAGCTGGGGCAAGGGACATTTTTTGAGAGGAGAAGAAGACGAGGGCAGCACGTGGTGTAACCTTCTGGAGACATTCGGAAATTAGCTTCGCTTGTAAATAGACGTGTTTTTTTTTTTCTTCCCCCTTTCCCCGGAGTCCTGTCTGCTTTACTCTTCCGTCAGCGACCATCAGCTGCCTCCGTCGTCGGGTCCCGGCGCAATCTCCAAGAAAGAACATCTTTAGTAGCATATGTCTATTTTAATTAATTAAAAAGCTAATTAACAAATTTTAACTAATTAACCGACTGATCGTTACGATTAGCCCCCTATAACATGTCCCCCTGGCCGTATAACAAAATCGCTCCTGCGAAAACTACTCATCGCAATAATAAAAGGATTGTGGCGTTTTGGTCCTGGGCGAGGGGCCCATTTAGGAAAATTATTAAAGCCCGGAATAATTAAGATTTAATTATTTTTGCGTAATTAACTTTTTTATTATTGTGTTTAAGGGCATGGTTTAAAATAGAAAATTGCTCAGCATCATCAAAAAAAAAAAAAACGCGAAATAAACAAAATGCAGAAGGATAGAAAGCACGCGAAGCATTTTACAGCTTTCTGAAAAACCCCACAAAATTGGCGTCACTACGGGCTCCGGCCCCCGTATTTGTATTACGGGCCTGTTCTAACCGCGCTTTATACGCCCTTTTACCGCGCAAGTCACGCACTGAATGCGCCAGCGCGTCGCTCGCTGGCCCATTCAGTACAGCAGAGGGTGTCTTAACCCTGAGAGGGACAGAGATCTAGGCACCCAACAGTCGACCGGATTGAGACGCCCGTCTTGTCCTGGCGGTATCCCACACCGTCTGGTGACTGTTACGAAATTGCGAATGGAAAGCAAATTGGCTTAGAAAGGCAAAGAGAGGAATCATACTTTTGGTTTTTAGTTTCTAGGCTAGGTGGCGCGAGCTACCGCCTGTTATAAAGGGTACAGCCGTTCGCATCCATTTCTGAGAGATCCCTGGTGGTGTGGTGACACTATTTGTTGTACTCTCGTCCGTAACATGTTGTCGTCTTCCTTTCGCGTGTTGCTTTTGCGTCTTCCGTTTTACCGAGTTACCTTGGCCAAGAGCGTGTGCCTCTTTAAAAAACGTGCACGTTACGTGGTTGGGTCACGCGTGTTCGGAGCATTTTAAAAGGTTATCATCAGTTCGCTCGTTACAGCAACTCGGTCTCGAGCAGACTTGTACGTATTATGTTACTTGTATTTAATTATTTGTACGTTGACAAATTAACGCCTTAGT